CGCTCACTGTTAAAAAAAATTATGCCTTACTTCCAGTCTGAATTTGTCAGCTTTAACTTCCAGCTGTTGGATCATGCTATACCTCTCTCTGCTAAACTGAAGAACCCATTATTAAATATTTGTTCCCCCTTTAGGTACTTATAGACTGTAATCAAGACACCCCTTAAACCTCTTCTTTGTTAAGCTGAATAGATTGAGCTCCATTAATCTATCACTATAAGGTTTCCTATTTACATATGCAAGAATCACATTAGCCCTTTTGGCCACAGCATCTCACTGGGATCTCATGTTTAGCAGATTATCCATCACCACCCTTAAATCTTTTTCAGACTCACTTTTCCAGGATAGAGTCCCCCATTCTGTAAGTATGGCCTACATTCTTTATTCCTAGATGTATACATTTAGCCATATTAAAACATATTGTTGGTTTGCGCCCAGTTTACCAAGCGATCCAGATCATTCTAAATCCTGACCTGTCCTCTTTATTACTTACCACTCCCCCAATTATTGTGTCATCTGCCAACTTTATCAGTGCTGATTTAATATGGTCTTCCAGGTCATTGATGAAAATGTTAAATAGCACAGGGCCAAGAACCAATCTAATGGAACACCACTAGAAACACACTGATCTATCAGTTAGCTAGTTTTAATCCATTTAACGTGTGTCATGTTAATTTAACATCATTCTAGGTTTTTAATCAAAATGTCATGTGCAAATTAATTCCAGTTCTGTCCGGACAATCTCTACGCAAAAGAATAAATGGACACAAATCTGACATCAGGAATCATAACACTCAAGAACCAGTAGGAGAACACTTCAATCTCCCTGGTCACTCAACAACAGACCTAAAAGTGGCAATTCTTCAACAACAAAACTTCAAAAACAGACTCCAACATGAAACTGCAGAACTGGAATTTAAGTTGTAAACTGGACACCATCAGATTAGGCCTGAATAAAGACTAGGAGTGGTTGGGTCATTATAAAACCTAAACCTAATTTCCCCAATACTAATTTCCCCCTACTGTTACTCACACCTTCTTGTTAACTGTCTAAAATGGGCCACTCATTACCACTTCAAAAGTTATTTTTCCTCCCTTGGTATCCTGCTGTCAATTGAATTGTCTCGTTAGACTAACCTCACACTTGGTAAGGCAATTCACATCTTTTCATGTATTTATAACTACTCCTGTATTTGCCACTTCATGCATCTGATGAAGTGGGTTCTAGCCCATGAAAGCTTATGCCCAAAAAAATTTGTTAAGTCTCTAAAGTGCCACAAGGACTCCTCATTGTTTTTACAAGTAGATTAGCCCATGGTGGAGGTGACACAAGCTAAACAGGAGGTACAGATAATCTGGGTAAGTGCTATGGAAAAATAAATATCATGATGGGACTTAAAGCAAATCGAAACAGTTCAAATTGGCTTCCTGCAGTAGTCTGTGGAACACATGATGTCCACATGCCCATTACCAATAAACTGCAACACAGAAAACAAAGGCTAATGCTGTGAGATCTTTAAATACACAGCTACTACCACCCTGTTTCATACTATAGCTGCATGCATTACTGAGAGTGTGTAGTAAACTTGCAAAGAAGGCAGACACAAGAACAACAGAATAAGGTTTCTGTAATTGACCTGCAGCATTTGTCTGAAACACCCCACCCTGTCAGCAGATGTTGATCCCTGTTGGTGAAGTATTAAGTGGGTTCTGCTGGCTCTCTTAGGGACATGACTCATGACTTCACCCGGCTACACGGGAGGCGGGAGTTGCAGTCTTGCAGCAGAGAAAGAATAAATATCTAGATTGTGGACTGACCAGTTCTGAGGGAGGAACCCTAGGAACAGTCAAGCTTGGAGAGGTATCAGTGAACTTTATGATATTTTGTTGCAGATTTGTTGGTTAACAAAGCCAAACACGAGGAAGGGAATGCATTTGGACTGTAAATAACGTGTGGACTATGTATGTAGAGCAGGTTGGGAAAGACTCCATTTCAAAGTTTAATAAAATTTACTTTCTTTGCTTGTTAAAGAAGATTCTGTAAGCAAGGATTTTGGAGGACACAGCTTGATAACCAGAAAGGAAAATATTGCTAGAGTATTACAGAAGTTTTTGGTTACCAGATTGGTAATTTGAATCTCCGCTGATGACAGGGTCTAGACTAGAGCTAGTATAACAAAAAAAAAAAAAAAAAAGTGGTCAGTGCCAACCTTTTGTTTGCACTACAAAAGAAGAAGATGGAAGAGATGAATGAAAATAATAAAGGTAGCTGTTGATTAGGGAGGAAAAGATGAGTGAAGTAGCTGATGGTTTTATTTAAATACAGATAGTAACAGGATGCAAACAAATATGACTGTATCCATACCACAGCCTATCGTTTCACTCACTGCTATTTCTAGGGGCTGTCTTTCCATGTTCTAGAGTAGTCCTGATGCCCACAAGCTTTCTCCCTTTTAAGACTTCCTTCATCAAAGAGGCAGTATTCTGAAGAACAGATGTTGTTCTCTGAAGTATGTCTTTATTTAACATTACCAGCAGCATGAATGAAGTTAAACACCAGATGGATGAGGCAACGCAGGCCCCTTACATGTATGAAAAAAGTGATACTATTAGACTATTGGGTTGGTTTATGGTCATGGCCTTTCCATCATAAGCCAAACATGGTGGTCCCAGGCAGTAACAGCCTCAGATCTACAACACAACCAGATGAAATGGCACTCATCACCTTTATGTAGTCACAAATATTTAACCACAAGTTTAAGTACTTTACAAGAAGAAATCATTGCTATTCTTCAAACCGAAATGCCTTTTTCCTCCCTTCTCATCCTTCCCCAACTGAAACTTAGTACAATTCTTTGGAGTAGCTAGCGTGTGGTTAAAATGGAGGAAGCTATGCCTGTTCGTATGGAATCTGCTATTTCCTCCCTGCCAAAACACTTGTTTAAAAAAAGTCATGTAATATTTCTATTAAACTGTAAATGCAGTCGACAAGGAAATGGCCTACTGGCAGTGTATTACCTTTGTGGCAATGCCAACCAGCCTACAGCAAAATAGCGCATATAACATGCATTCCCAAGTACTGTAACAAAATTGTACTTTACATAAATACCACAGAACTCAAGCAAGATCCAGAAAAAGCAATGAAAATTTGCCCAAGCTTTCATGCTTGCCTATATCAATTGTATGTCATAACTAAAACAAAATAGAAAAGCATCTACATATGTCCAAGGATCCTGTGAAGTTAGATCATATAACTCTGGGGAAACTATTGCAACTTAAATCTGTGTATTTCTTGTTAACCACTGTAACAACTCACTAATAAAAATTAAGAAAAACTGTGGGTATCAAATATACAAAAAGAGTACTAACAGCATACAAGTCCTTAAAGACCATAACATAATTTATTAACAAGAACATGTGTTCTGTGTAATCCAGAATTGTTATGTTAAATTACTTTGGCCTTTGATATCATTCATTTGATTACAAGAATTTAAAAGACTCAAGCTTTCAAATTCAGAGAGTGACCTTTGGTTTATAAGCAGCTATTGTCATACTGATAAAATCCTCTCTGATAATTTAGTCCTTACCTTTCACTACCTAGTGCAACTACATGCAATTATATTAAAGTGATCCCAGATGTACTGAAGATGATTTCATTAATGTTAAAGAGTACACCTAAAAAACCCCAAAACAATCAAATAGAATTAATCTGTAATCAATACAGTTCTTCAGAACAGTTTAAAATGTTAAATCTTCATTAATTAAGCCACTCATTACAAAAGGGTGAGCTTGAAAGATATATGTCTTGTTCATCTCAATTTGAATTATTTCTAGTCATTCTTTGATTTCAAAATAGCCAAAACCAATGGCTTTGCCAAAAGTTTTATTAGGTGTTTCTTTAGATGCTATAATGTTTCAAGACCACAAAACAATGATGGTTTTGTTTTGCTTTAAATACTCACTAACAAAACTTTTTGCAACCTTAGAGATCATTCCTGGGGTTTTTTTAAGACCATAAATCTACTAAATACTCTTGAATGTATTCAAGTTAAAGTCACTGTGTAAAAACAGCACCTTTTTACTCAACCATGGTGGTTCCCTGTATTTATATTAAAATGCTGACTCATGAGATACTGACAAAAAAATATTAAACCCTATGATACGCAAGTATGTGTGTCATGCTTAAATATCCCCAAACATACTGGGAAACATACTGCCTTTAACAGCATATAATGTCTAATGGGTTCTAATTATAAATGGCACATGAAAGTAACTGTTTTTATTATAATCATACTTATTAGAAAGGCATAACTATTATTTATAGTGTAGTTCAATAAACAAAAGTACATCCAACTGGTGGCAGGACTGTCCCTGGATAACACCTGCCCATGAACTTCTCAAAGAGCAATATTTTTCAATTATCATCACTCTTAGATCACACATTCTTTTTTTTTTTCTCATCTAAGCTAATGCAGAAATACATTCCTAACTTACGTTATGTTTAGTAACACATAAAAACTGGTTTGGAATTATGAACACTGTCAATAACAAGTAATGGATCAAATCATAAATTCCGTTCTTGGCTATTACTAATCAAAACACCCTTTGAAGGGAGGAAGGATGGTCACATGGTTACAGCAGTGCACTGAACTCCGGAGATCTAGGTTCAACTTCAAACAGTCTTCCTTTGTTACCTTGGGGAAGTCACTTAACCTCTCTGTGCCTTAGTTATCCATCTGTAAAATGGAGATAACAGTACTTTCTTATAGGGGGATTGTGAAAATCAATTCCATGTTTGCAAGGTACAAACTATAGTAACAGTGCCTTTTAAGTATTGGGGAGATAGAAGTCAAGCAGTGAGTGAGACCTGATTAAGGATTCCAGGATTTTGCCCACATTTCTGTTATTTATATAAGACATAACTCTACAGCTAGCTGTGCAAACAACATACCATGGTCAATAACTCATTTTTTAAAAATGTTTTTAAAAATATTACTTACTCTCATTGGATGTATATCAGCATATGGAGGTTTTCCTTCAGCCATTTCTATTGAAGTGATACCAAGGGACCAGATATCTGCCACACAGTTATAACCAATCTCTTGAATTACCTCAGGAGCCATCCAAAATGGAGTACCTATAACAGTATTTCGTTTTGCCATTGTATCCTGTAATCACATCATTTGTGCAATTAAAATTTAGACATTTGTCTGCATAGGTTCCCATTACATTTGTTTCATATTTAAGGTTAGAACTGAGTTTCCACTGTGATCACTACATTGCCTCCCCCATCCCCACTCCCAAATCTACAAATAAACAAATACTCTCAAAATTGGTAGATGATGTCTGTGCCTGAGGAAGAGTTTTCCTTTCAAACCTGAAGTAAATAAAACAAGGGATTTCTTGATTTTTTGCTCTTAAATTAAAGAGCTTTCCCAGAGTCCAATAAGTTTAAGGTTTTTTGCCACTTTATTTTATTTCTCTTCTTCTTTCCAATGTTTTGCCACAAAGTTTAATGGACTCATGTCATCAACTGGACAAAGCCTAGTTGATTTAAACTCATTTTTAAATAGTGACACTAGAATGGGGCTTCAGAAGCTGCCAAGCTAATTTTAGCTCACCAGCAGCTTCAGAGACAGGCCAGGTTGCATAAGGAAAATCAAGTGGAAGGGTTGTTTGCTCTCCACATCTCCAACATAGAGCTCAAGAAGAAGGAAAGAGGGTGTATCTAGCAAGACCAATGTATTTCAGGTGGGAAGGGACAAAACTATGGGCTATCCCCACCCACCTCTGCTGACCACCTACAGGCAGAATTAAGACAGTGTGGTACCTTAGCTGAATTTCCAAACTCTCAAGTTTGAGTTTCTTGAAAATCTAATCTTAACCCTACATTTCTAGGATTTTTATTTATGTGCATATTTACTTCTGTAAAATAAGGATTGTTATTAGCTAGGATTGCTAACTATAATGTCCTTATAAAGGTTTTTACTCTTAAGTTATTGATATGTACTCCCAACTGCTTCATTTTTAAGATTTTTTTTTAAGAGGGATCACTTCATGTATTTAGTTGAATTCATAATGTTCAGCAGACGCTATTACAATGATAATGTAAAAGTTATTTCTGTTATGTCACACACAAAAAATGCAAACATTTATGATCCTACTGCCATAACAAAGGATCAAGCTCTTTTGAAATGTAGAAGTGCCCATAAATCCATATGATTAATAAGTTAGCCAGCCACTTTTCCAGGTTTTGGAACACCTGCACCTTAACGGTGCCAGAAAAGGGCCAAATTGAAGGAAATAAAAAGTGGTATTTTTCCAAGCTCTGCCCACATTAATCACAAGGATAAGAATGTGCTCACTGTAGGTGTGGAGATGTTAAAAATATGATCACATGCTTTCTGGACTCCTCTGGGCTCAATAAGCTTGGATTCCTTTTCGTGGTTCTTCAATAATGCACATGGGCTCTGCTAGTCTACCTAGGAAACTGTCTCTCAACCTTTTCAGACTCCTGTACCCCTTTCAGGACTCCTATTTGTCTTGCGTACTCCCAAGTTTCACCTCACTTAAAAACTACTTGCTTACGAAAATCAGACATAAAAACCCAAAATTGCTTATTTTCATTTTGTTTGTATGAAATTTTAGTTTGTACTGACTTTGCTAGTGCTTTTTATGTAGCCTGTTGAAAAACTAGGCAAATATCTAGATGAAGTTGATGCATCCCCTGGAAGACCTTGGTGTACCCCTGGTTAAGAACCACTGACCTAGGGCACCAGTCAAGGGGGTGAAAACAGTTGTGACTTTCCCAAAGGTCACCCCACTTGTGGCACCAAAATGAGAAGTCTCTCACAATAAACTACAATAAACTCTGCAGTATTGTGATCCTCCCTCTTCTTTTTTACAGGAGCAATGAAATCATTAATAATGTTGACATTTAAATTATTGTTATTAACACTTCACTCTGAGAGGTATTGTTCCAGGCTCTTTCCACACTCATATTGACATCTCTGCATCACTTAAATTCAGTTAACACATATGAGATTTTCTTTGCAACCACAGCAGCTAGGGACTCACTTTTTAAACTAAGCTGAAATTCTAAAGAACAAGACAGTAACTTCAGAGAGTTTTGGTATGGCATATGGGCACATACTAGCTGTTCCCCAAGCCCTGGTACCAGACCGACAATACTGAAGTATTCCATGTATTTTCAAGACAACTACAGCATAAACACAGGAGCAGTACAGTCTTTCAAAAGTCCTGATTAGGCTATAATTCAAGCAACTAAAAATCAAATTAAAGGCATTAAAGTTGATGGTATTATGAGGTTTTTTATCTAGTTAAGTAAGCTCAATAAAGTTAGAGAGCAACAAAATAATCATCACGGGAAGAAGAGTGCTCTCTTTCCCACCATCACCAGTCACTCCTGGCCATGGAGAATGATGAAAGGAAATGAAAAAGTAGAAACCCTTTTTTTAAAAAAGTGAATGGTTATGAGCATTATAACAATCTAAAAAAGATTCTGATCTTTTCATATACTTACTGTTAATTGGCCAGCCACTCCAAAATCAGCTAATTTTGCATGTCCTTCTGTGTTAAGGAGGATGTTTCCAGCCTTTATATCTCTGTGTATTTTTCTCATGAAGTGCAAATATTCAAGTCCTTTAAGTGTGGATTTAAGAATGGTGGCTATTTCATCTTCTGTTAGCTATAAGAAAAACAAACATCTAACTACTTTTCTTCTTGGAAATACACACACACACACGTTACACATTTAAATAAACAACATGATAGCCTAGAAGAATAAAACTCAGGTTCTGTAAACTGTTTTATAATTATTATTATTATTATTTATATAACATACATGAAGTATGCTAGATGCTTTACAGACATGAGGCAAGACCAGGTCTCAAAGAGTTTACAATTTAAGACTCTGATCCTGCAATTTGATCTACATAGCTGGATGGGAAGTAAACCTACTTCAGATATGAGCAGGAGTTCACCCATACAGATCACGTTGCAAAATTGGGCCCTAAACATCACATAAGCAAAATAGGGGTTGAAATGTTGCCACGGGATTAACTTAAAACTTTTTTGAATTTGTTTATAATTTTTCTTTATTTATACATACGAGAAAGAGTTTTCTCTCTCCCCAATATAATCTATAATTAGATTATTAACTCTTAGAGACAGGTGCTACCCCAAAGAAAATGTCTCACCAGTAGAGTTAATACGGACTCTTACCAGGATTTTAGCACAAACAACCCCCATCATTCCCCCATTGTCTGCATGCTAAAACCCGTTACCCAGATTTGGAGTTGCTTTGAGCCTGAGCTAGCAGACCCAGCTGCAGGTATGGGTTTGAACCTTGTCTCCACTTTAACTCGGGCTGGAATACACCCACTTTGCAGCGTGGATGCAGGCTAAATCACTCAAGAGCTGATAGTCCTCTAATGCTTTCCCACACTTCCCCCTGAAAAACAGGCAAGTACTCCCACAATTGACTGGGAAAGAATCAGAGCATCTCAGCACAGAGAGCCATGGGACAAGACCCCGAACACAAATAAGCAAGTGAGGACATCATAATGTGAATATGACTTTGCACTGGGGACACTAACACCTGGGCTAGACTACCCCAGGTGCTCAGACCTGGTTGCTTATCACCCAGATTAACTATGCAGTGAATCACAGAAATGTAGGCTGGAAGGGACTTCAAGAAATCACCAAATCCAGCCCCCTGCACTGAGGCAGGACTGAGTAAACCTAGATCATCCCTGACAGGTTTTTGTCCAACCTGCTCTTAAAAACCTCCAATGACAGGAATTCTACAACATTCCTTGGAAGTCTATTCCAGTGCTTAACTGTCCTTATACTTAGGAAGATTTTCCTGATCTCTAATCTAAGTCTCCCTTGCTGCAGATAAAGCCCATTATTTCTTGTCCTACCTTCAGTGGACGTGGAGGACAATTGACCACAGTCCTCTTTATAACAGCTCTTAACATATTTGAACACTCCTATCAGATCCTTCCCTCTTGTTCTCAAAATACTGAGCATGCCCAGTTTATTTGTTTTTAAACCTCTCCTCATAGGTCACATTTTCTAAATCTTTTATTTTGTTGCTCTCCTCTGGACTTTCTCACCAACTTGTCCAGATCTTTCCTATTAAACACCATACTGCAGTTGAGGCCCCCTCAAGGGTCAAGTAGAGCGGGACATTTACCTCTTGTGTTGTACATACAACACTCCTATTAATACACCCCAGAATATTAGCCTTTTTTGCAACCGCATCACACTGTTGACTCACTTTTAGTTTGTGATCCACTATAACCCAGATTCTTTTCAGCAGTACTACTTAGCCCGTTATTCTCCATTTTGTAGTTGTGCATTTGAGTTTTTACTTCCTAAGCAGAAGACACTTCTTAACTCTGCATTTGTACGGCACATAACAGACTGTTACTCTGATCCTCATGAGAGCCTCTAAGTGCTACTTCAAGTAATAAATTAACAGTAACAAATTAAATAAAAAAAGAAAAGGAGTACTTGTGGCACCTTAGAGACTAACAAATTTATTTGAGCATAAGCTTTCACGAAAGTTTATGCTCAGATAAATTTGTTAGTCTCTAAGGTGCCACAAGTACTCCTTTTCTTTTTGCAAATACAGACTAAGACGGCTGCTACTCTGAAACCAATAAATTAAATGTTAGTTGAGGGTGCGCTAAGTACTTCACAGGATTGGCCCAGGATGAACTCTTCAACTCTGGGTACAGAGTAGAGGCCAAACAAATCCTTTTCAACTCTGGGGTGTATTAATAGGAGTGTTGTATGTATGACACAAGAGGTAATTGTCCCAGTATACTTGACATTGGGGAGGCCTCAGCTGGAGTACTGTGTCGAGTAGGAAAGATGTGGACAAGCTGGAGAGAGAATCCAGAGGAGAGCAACAAAAATAATAAACAGTTTAGAAAACGTGACCTATGAGGAAAGGTTTAAGAAGTGGAAATTAAATCCTACTAAGGAAAATAGAAAGAAGCAAAAACCTCTGGCAAGTGAAGTGTAAAAAAATAATTAGGGAGGCCAAAAAAGAATTTGAAGAACAGCTAGCCAAAGACTCAAAACAAAGAGCAAAAAAAAAAAAAAAATTAAGTACATCAAAAGCAGGAAGCGTGCTAAACAACTAGTGAGGCCACTGGATGATCAAGGTGCTAAAGGAGCACTCCCCAAGGAAGATAAGGCCATTGCAGAGAAACTAAATGAATTATTTGCATGGCGGAGGATGTGAGGGAGATTCCCAAACCTGAGCCATTCTTTTTAGGTGACAAATCCGCGGAACTGTCCCAGATTGAGGTGTCATTAGAGGAGGTTTTGGAACAAACTGATAAACTAAACACTAATAAATCATCAGGACCCGATGGTATTCACCCAAGAGTTCTGAAGGAATTCAAATGTAAAACTGCAGAACTACTAACTGGTATGTAACCTATCATTTAAAGCAGCTTCTGTACTGGAGAATAGCTAATGTGATGCCAATTTTTTAAAAAGGCTCCAGAGGCGATCTAGCAATTACACGCTGGTAAACCTAACTTCAGTACCAGCGAAATTGGTTAAAACTGTAGTAAAGAACAGAATTATCAGACACCTAGATGAACACAATGTGTTGAGGAAGAGTCAACACGTTTTTTGTAAAGGAAAATCATGCCTCACCAATCTACTAGAATTCTTTGCGGGGGTCAAAGGACATGTGGACATATCTGGTGGATAGTGCGCACTTGGACTTTCAGAAAGTCTTTGACTAGGTCCCTCACCAAAGGCTTTTAAGCAAAGTAAGCTGTCATGGGATAAGAAGGAAGGTCCTTTCATGGATTGGTAACTGGTTAAAAGATAGAAAACAAAGGGTAGGTATTAATGGTCAGTTTTCAGAACGGAGAAAGGTAAATAGTGGTGTCCCCCCGGGGTCTGCACTGGGACCAGTCCTATTTAACATATTCATAAATGATCTGGAAAAAGGGGTGAACAGTGAGATGACAAAATTTGCAAATGATACAAAACTACTCAAGATAGTTAAGTCAAAAGCAGACTGAGAAGAGTTACAAAGAGATCTCAAAAACTGGGAGATTGGGCAACAAAATTCAATGTTGATAAATGCAAAGCAATGCACATTGGAAAACATAATCCCAGCTCTACATATAAAATGATGAGATCTAAATTAGCTCTTACCACTCAAGAAATAGATCTTGGAGTCATTGTGGATAGTTCTCTGAACATCCACTCAATGTGCAGTAGCAGTCAAAAAAGCTAACAGAATGTTGGGAATCATTAGGAAAGAAAGAAATAAGAATACAGAAAATATCATATTGCCTATCTATAAATCCATGGTATGCCCATATCTTGAATACTACATGAAGATCTGGTCATCCCATCTCAAAAAAGACATATGGAATTGAAAAGGGTACAGAAAAAGGTAACAAAAATTAGGAGTACGGAAGTTTTGTTATAAACTGGGGATGCATCACTTGGAAGTAATACAGGAGAGGAAGGACCTCAGAGTATTGGTTGATCACAGGATGACTATGAGCCGCCAATGTGATATGGCTGTGAAAAAAGCTAATGCGGTCTTGGGATGCATCAGGCGAGGTATTTCCAGTAGAGATAAAGAGGTGTTAGTACCGTTATACAAGGCACTGGTGAGACCTCATCTGGAATATTGTGTGCAGTTCTGGTCTCCCATGTTTAAGGGGGATGAATTCAAACGGGAACAGGTACAGAGAAGGGCTACTAGGATGATCCGAGGAATGGAAAACCTGTCTTAGAAAAGGAGGCGCAAGGAGCTTGGCTTGTTTAGCCTAACCAAAAGAAGGCTGAGGGGAAGATATGATTGCTCTCTATAATTATATTAAAGGGATAAATACCAGGGAGGGAGAGGAATTATTTAAGCTCAGTACCAATGTGGACACAAAAACAAAAGGATATAAATTGGCCATCAGGAAGTTTAAACTTGAAATTAGATGAAGGTTTAGATAATTAGATAACCATCAAAGCAGTAAAGTTCTGGAACAACCTTCCAAGGGAGCAGAGGAGGCAAAAGACATATCTGGCTTCAAGACTAAGCTTGATATGTTTATGGAGGGGATGGTATGATGGGATAATGTGATTTTGGCAATTAATTGATCTTTGACTATTAGCGGTAAATATGCCCAATGGCTTGTGATGGGATGCTAGATAGGGTGGGATCTGAGTTACTACAGAGAATTCTTTCCTGGGTGCCTGGCTGGTGAGTCTTGCCCACATGCTCAGGGTTTAGCTGATCGCCATATTTGGGGTCAGGAAGGAATTTTCCTCCAGGACAGATTGGCAGAGGCCCTGGGGGTTTTTCGCCTTCCTCTGCAGCTTGGGGCACGGGTCACTTGCTGGAGGATTCTCTGCACCTTGAAGTCTTTAAACCACAATTTGAGGACTTCAGTAGCTCAGACATAGGTCAGGGGTTTGTTACAGGAGTGGGTGGGTGAGATTCTGTGGCCTGCGTTGTGCAGAAGGTCAGACTAGACCATCATAACAGTCCCTTCTGACCTTAAAGTCTCTGATTCTAACAGCTTTCATACGAGGAGAGATTAAGACTGGGACTTTTCAGCATGGAAAAGAAACTACTAAGGTGGGATATGATAGAGGTCTATAAAATCATGACTGGTGTGGAGAAAGTAAATAAGGAAGTGT